TACTCTGAAGTTCCGAATAATCATATAGAGCATAATAATAGTATAGAGTGGAAAAATACAAATTTACCAATAATAGTATAGATCGGAATAATAGTATAGGGTGGAAAAAACGGCAGTACTGGCAGTTTTCCCGCATTTTTTTGGCAAAACCGCTGACTTCTCCCCAGTTTCCCCTGTGATCAAATCCGCTGACCAGATGATTTGTGCTCTTAGTTTGCTGTTCGTTCGCGGTTTTGTTTTCGTTTTAGAGACAAAAAGTCTGTCTTTTTGGCAACTTTTTTCAATTTTTTTTCTCACGATATTGTTAATAACTAATTAAGGTAGGCACAGAGAAAAAAATTGTGAAAATTAATAATCGTACAGTCCCAAATAAGGCCGTATAGAGTGGAATATTTTGCCAAAATAAATAAGCGTATATATACGATTATTCGGAACTTCAGAGTAAGCTTCTTAAGTTCCTTCAAAACACATTAAATTATACCATACAAACTTTTCTAATGAAGGTAAAGGAGAAATTCAGTATTTTTTTGTATTCAAGAAGTCTCACCTTGTGTTGATACTGGACTTGTTACTATTGGTTGTGAAGCAGTGCTTATCTTCTTATTGTCTTGGATTACAATAACTGGTCTGTGTGAGCCTACTAATCTGCTACTCATTGAACTATCATCATCAGGCAGTGCTGTTATCAGAGGACCACTAGTCGCTGTATGCAAGGTAATATAGAGTGTTATAAAACTCATTAATATTCATAAGGCAAAACACAATAGAAATCATWGCCCATGAAGAGAGTTGTATATTACATACAGATTTCTTGTTCATTTGCATAAACTTTAACTCTGATTTTCTCAGTCAGATTGATTTTTTTTTCAAAAGTTTCTTTAAAACCTGAGCTAGTTTACCTCAACGTTTCATAAGTAATATACAATATTCGTRCGYGATCTSKATGAGGTTTAAAACAGCTYGCTTTCAGCTCGCTGTTTTAAATCCTCATACAGATCGCCCGCTCATATTGTATATATTACTTACAAGTTACAAATAAAGTACATACCAACAAGTATTATATTTAACTTAAAATAAAATGTACATGTAAATAGGTGTGTGAGAACTTACATGGTATTTCACTTGGTGAGTTTGATACATCAGATATGGTTAATGACTGACCAGAGGACTGCTGAAACACCAAACATAAAAAAACATCAATTGAATCATTCTCTGATCATGAAGAAGCATAGAACATATTTACACAATAAGTCCTTGAGCTAATGAAATACAGTTTGGATACATGTTTTCTATAATGTTTTGTTGTAGTA